GATGGAATTTTTGTTTTTGTTTTCAGCTTATTCAACTTTAATGAATACGGCAACAATCAAAACAATATGTAAAGTAGTAGATACTTGGTTGAAATGCAAATTAAACCAAGGAGCAATACAATTAAGAAAAATCGATGAAACATGTGGTTCATCAAATATTATGACCATTGAAGAACGAAGCGATATTTAGATCCTATTCATTTTGCATAACCATTCAATCWAAAMAAAAAAAAAAAAACGTTTACAAACATTAGAAACACAATCCATTATTACTACACACCAAGAAACCCTTAACCCAAAGAAACTCTCTCACCAAATCATTACAAACCAAAATCAACCTTTCAAATTCAAAGTCAGCCTCCAAAATTAAGTCAATTCTCTTCCAATTTCACCATCAAATTAAGGCAAAAACTAGAAAGAAAAATAATAACTTTCTTTTAAGAGCAAATTGGACATAGAACCAAACCATTCTCATTACACTCCAAACACTTGACCATATTCTTCTTCTCCTCATCCATAACCTTGCAACTCCCATTGCAAACCACACACATCACAAATCTCAATCCGCCGCATCCCCGGCAGCAACCGCCTCCTAGCCTCGCCGCCGGCATACCTTCGAGTAAAATTCCCAATTTACCCTCCTCCTCTAACCTCACCAATTCCTCAACACTTCCTATCATCCTCCCTTTCACAAATACCGCAGGTATTTTCACCTGTTTAGCTCCCATAATGCCTCTGATCTCTTCCTTAAAAACCGAATGCATCGACACATCTCGCTCCAAGAATCGAACTTCGTGTGAATCTAACATCGATCTTACCGCATTGCAATCCTCAAACGTCTTCCTTATCCCTCTTAACGATGTAATGTAGATAACCACTGAGTTCTCTCCTCCCGGTGGACATTTCTCAGGGAAATTCTCGAGGATTCTCTCCGATTCACGGGTTTTCTCTGTTTTTCGGATCTCAGGAGCCGAAGAAATCACCATCTTGATCTGTTCTTTCTCTTGAGACAACTCTTTCTCATATGAAGCAACGAGATCTGGATCAAACATAGGACTAAAACTCTTCCTCCTCTGCGTAATCATCGACGATTCCTCAGATTTGATAGGGAAACTCAAACGCATTACGCCTCTTTTCGGAGTTTCTAAAATGTTCTTCGGCTTCAAAATCTGATTCGGACTCACACCTCTCGAGCTATTCCCTCCTCTGTTTTCTTTCCCAACAAATCTCTTACTACTACTACCTCTCTTCGGAGATTCCAAAATCGATGATTTCACTGGAGTCTTCCACGATTTACCGAAAAAGCCACGAGATTTAGGACTAATCCTCTGTGTATGCATTGAATCTTCAAGATCTTCCATAAGCTCCCATGTATTGATAATCTCTGGATCATCTCTCTGTGTAATAGATCTTCTCGGTTTGATTTCGGACTCAAAGTCTTCACCTTTAGTGAGTTCCTGTAACTTTGGAGAAATCTCTGATCTTTCTTCGAGATCGAGATGTCCGTAAGTAGTTGAAGTTAGAGAGACAATGTGATCGCCGCCATTGTTGACTCGAATCTCTCTTATCAGTTTCTTCTTACCTAGTTTCGAAGAAACACAACCCATGTT